CCTCTGGAAGCAGGGGTGCAGCTCTCTAGGGCAGCAGGGCCAAAGCTAGCCCAGGCAGTCCTGTGGAAAACCAGTGTGTTAGGAAGGCAAATCCTGCTGATGCGACAGCTCCAGGATCACCCTGGACTGGTATAAGCAGCAGGGCTTAGAGGGACTCCTGCCCAACCCCTGCTCCAAGGCAGGATCAGTGCTTACCCACACCATCCCCAGCTCACGTGGACATGGTGCTGCAGGTCGAGTGGAAGCAGGGGGGACTCAGCCCACCTCCAGATGGCTGGGAAAGCCCCACAGTGCCAGGTACACCCAGGGGGCAGTGGTTTTGTCGCTGGCACAGGGGGCTGCATGCCAGGAGCAGCCCGGCAGCCAGAGGGGAGATGCAAAGTGTGGGATCACACATGGGCTGGGTGGGAATCTACTCACGTTCCAAACCAACCACTTCACTCACCCCCTCCTTGCTCAGTGCCAGAGCAGAAGCAAGCAGGCCCTGAGCTGAGCTGCAGGGTCTCTTCCTGCCCCAGCAGGTCCCAGCTCTACCACTAAAACATCCCAACCACTACGCCTCATCTTCCTATCCTCAGCTGAAGCACCAACTCAACCTGTAAACACTCTGCACAGTTAACTCCTACTGTTCTCCCTCCTGATCACCTTCCCCCTCTCTTTTCTCCCAGCACAGTGATCAGCCCATGCTCACACCACTGCAGCAGCGTAGAAGGGTCAGGGATGACCAAGCTTTCCCTATCCTCCAGCTGTACAACAGCACTGGGGCAGCTGTGGGTCAGGCTGGCTGCCAGCCCAGAGCAAGAAGCAAGCACAGGGAAGATGCACACTGAGTGCCAGCCAGATGCAGCCATCAGGCTAAGCTGAGGCAGGGTCAGGGCAGATTGCAAGTCATGCTGAAGTGAAATCCTCCCCTGCCCAGCCTCCACATGGCCACAGAGGGCTGCAGCACATACCTGCTCCTCACTCCATGATAAGGCTCTCCAAAAAGAACTCATTTTACTCAGAGGGGTAACTGCAGCTCAGCTAAAGATGAGGCACAGGGCTCGGCTAATACCTACAGAGCCCCTTATGCTGCTTGTCCCCTTTCCACAGCGCTGAGGCCACAGGCAGGAGTTTTAGGCAGGTGGCTTCCAAAAGCCAGAAGGAACATCAGACCCAGCCCCAAGAAAGAGCACATCTGACCCAGGTCCCTGCAGTGCTGTGCAGCTCAGCCCACAGCAGATCTTTATCCAGTCTCCAAAGCAGCGGCAACCAGAACAGCCTCCCCTCGCCATTCACCACTACTGAGCTCGGGATTCCACCACTCCCAGAAGGCATGAAGGAAACCTGGTGTCCCACCACCCAAAAATTCAATTGCCCCAGTCAATATTTGGTCACAGCTTTCTTCCCTAAAGCCAAACTACACACTTCATGCTAAGTATTCCTACAGGCTTATCCGCGCTTCGCATCTACTTCCTCCTCACCCAGTGCTCCACATTCCTGCGACTCTCCAAGCGCTCCAAAAAGCTGGTTGAGGAAATAAACGACTGCCAAGGCAACAGCAGCAGCTAGTCTATAAACAGCCCTGGTGAGGACAGCAAACTCAGCAAGGTCACAGGCAACACAACAGGAACTGTGTCAGAGAAAGCAGGCTGCGATTCACACGCTGCAGCGAGGGGAGCACGGATCATGCCAGAAAGAAAGAAAAAAAAGCAACTACACTAAGCACTGTATTGGGTTTGCTTGAGGGCTTTGTCCAGAGAAACCTGCAGCCTAAGCTGACAGGTGATAGAAGCTGAGAACCACGCATGCATTCTGCTGCAGTTTGTACCTGCCTATTCCTGGGCACTGAGCAGCTTGTGGCACGCTTCACAAGGAAGTCTGGAGGATGCTGAGAACCAGCACCACAAACAGGTATGAATAATTACGCAGCAAAACGCATTATTCTGAAATCCTACTGATGTCAACAGAGCGATTTGCAACTCAGGGGAGTGCCAGCTCACTGATGTTTACCCACAGCAGGCAGAGAACATGTCAGTGATGCAGGAGAGCCCAGCAATGAAGTGTGAGGTGTGGGACAGCACTGTGAGCCTCTGAGAGCAGCCAGCTTCTGCCAAGTGCCTCAGCAGGAGGGAGGGAGGGACACTGTTTACTGAAATGAAGCCTCAACAGTTTCCTGGGAGCTCTCCTGCATGGGCTACGTAGTCACAAAACACAAAGAGCCCCTCAGTGGTTTTACAGGGTTTATTATCCTGTCTGTACAGTCCTTGGTAGATGCAGTTTAGATGATTCCAATCTGGAAAGAAGCAAAAGATGTTAAAACAGATGTTATGGTGGCAGAAAGGCAGAGCCTCCACCATCACTGACGCAGCTGCATCTCCCCAGGATTCCTTCCTCTGGAAACAGGCTTCTTCCTACCAGACTCGCCCAGTGCCTCACACAGCTGATGTATTCATCTGCTCCACTGTGACTCTCATGTTAATCCTTACAGCCACCTTCCCCACCTCCAACACCTACCACCACAGCCTCCTGCTTCCCACAGCCATCAGGACCAAACCACCTGGCCATTTCCAGCAGCAGAGCCACCTGCACAGCAGCAATCCCTCACCCAGGCCCTAGCAGTGCTTGTGACAGCACGTTCTCCTTTCTGAGGAGCGCTGCCAACGTCTCTGTCTGTGAACACTATTAGAACAGACACCACTTCACCCTGAGGCAGTTTCTGCATCCTCCTCAGTACTTTAAAATTCACGCAGCCCTGTGGAGTGGAGCCCCTCCCTGGAGGAGAGGAAGAACTGCAGCTCTGTCAGTAACTCCCCTGACCTCATACAGGCAGAACAAGGTTTTATCAGACAGCATTTGTTCTTGCTTAACCACCCTACGATCCTACTGAACTGCAAACTACTCTGCAGCAGCACTGGCGTGCTTTAAGCACAAGTGCCTCACGTGCACACCAAGAAGAAGCAGGTACAGCAAATCTGAGGCAGCAGATGGGAGCTGACAGCTTCAAATATCACTCACCTTGTTGGCCACATCCAGGGCATCGTAGTCGGGAGCCAGTCGGACGTAAGCCTTCTTCTCCCCATCAGGCCTAGAGTGGAACAGAAGGTGTCAGTACTGAGGCACACAAATCCTCCAACCTATTCCACATTCCTATTGTAACGGTGTGCATCAGTGGTTCCTTTGGAAACATCAGTTTACTCAGTGGTAAAAAAACTTCACATCATCTGCACGGAAATCCTGCAGGACTCCCAGAAGAAGCCAACTTTCCAACATAACACCATTTTAAACTCCCACTACGATGTGTTCAGTCATTAGATTTTATTTATCACAGCTTTAGCACTGAGAACACTACAGAGTTTAATTCCATACTCACACATGTCCAAATTTCCTACAGCTCTCCCCCTTACCTTATCAAGGTGTTGACCTTGGCCACATCGATATCATACAGCTTCTTGACTGCCTGTTTGATCTGGTGCTTGTTCGCCTTGACATCGACGATGAAAACAAGAGTATTGTTATCCTCTATCTTCTTCATTGCCGATTCTGTGGTCAAAGGGAACTTGATAATGGCATAATGGTCAAGCCTGCAAGAAAGATTGCCTCAGCTTAAAAAAGGATTGCAGAAGCTGTGTGTACGCATCAGGAGTTTTAAAATATCAGTTATCATCTAGAAGTATCCAGGGTACATCAGTTACCAAAAAAGCTCTAATCACAAACTCTCAGGCTTTGGTCGCTTGAAATCATCACTTGCACCCCGATGCTCTGCAGTGAAAACGCGGCTCAGCTCCAACGGCAGCACATGGGCAAGGCCTTACCGTGGGTCCCATAGAGGGGCCGTCCCCACACACAAAGCCCTGCCAGGCCCACCACCCCCACGTACTTGTTTCTCCTCGGGGCGCTCTTCCGGGGGTATTTGGGCTGCCGCCGCAGGCGCAGGGTCTTGGGCCTCCTGAAGGTGGGCGACGTGCGGATCTTCTTCTTCTTGTGGCTGTGGACTCCTTTCAGGACGGCCTTCTTGGCCTTCAGCGCTTTGGCCTTCGCCTCCGTCTTGGGCGGCACGGCTGTGACAACACCTCAGTCAGCGCAAAGCAGGTCTGCGTGCCCAGCAGCCCCCCGCCTGCCCCAGCGGGCCGCATCTCCTCACGAGGCACCCCGACGGGCGATCTGTGCCCAAACCGCTCCTCAGGCAGCGAGTGCCTCGTTCGCAACAGCCCGGCTGAGTTCTCCCCTCTGCCCTCGCGTAACCAGCCCAGGCCGGCCGCTGTGGGCCTCCCCCGTGCCCTCCACGTGCCCGCGGTCCAGCGCCGCCCCGCGGCCCTCCAGCACCCCGCGATCCCCTCAGCCCGACCCCCACAGCCCCACCGCACCCCGCGGGGCCTCGTAGCCCGGCGCCCGCCCTCCTCAGAGCCCGCCACGTCCGCCCGCCCTCACCCTCCTTCTTCGCTTTGGGCGCCATCTTGGGCAGCCAGGAGCCGAAAGGGGCTTCCCTCCCCGCGCCGCACGGGCTTATTAGCTTCAAACCTCGCGAGATTTCCCTTCCGTCTCGCCGCGGGGCTTGCCGGGAAGGGTAGTCTTGGGGGAGGGGCCTCTGTTGCGCGTGCGCACATCGCTCCCCCCCGGGGACATCATGGGAGTTGTAGTCCCGGTCCCCTCCTGGGTCGGGGCGGGGCGTGGACGCCGATGCCTCCGGGGCGGAGTGTGCGGCGCTGAGCACCGAGCGGAGCCGGAGGGGCGGGGGAACGGGGATCGCCCCTCGGTACCGCCGGGAGGGGACAGGGGACAGCTGGGAGGAGGGGCAGCGAAACCCCGGGGTGCGGCGCCGGAGTACGGGGACAGCTGGGACGGGGAGACGGCTGTGTGCCGGAGTGGCACCCGGGGGGACGTGGGGATAAGTGGGATGGGGAGAGGTGGGGACGTGGGGATGGGCGCCTTCCGGGATGCTTTACATGGGGACAGCGGGACGTGGGCACACGGGGACAGCAGGATCTGCAGGGATGTGGGGATGGTGGGGTTTGGGGACGTGGGGATGGTGGGACCTGGGGATAGCAGGACTTAGAGACACAGGAACAGTGGGATTTGGGGACAGTGAGATATGGGACCTGGGGACATGGAGACAGCATAATTTGGGGACATGGGGACAGAGAAAATTGGTGACAGTGGGATGTGGGGACAAGGGGACAGTGGGATTTGGAGATATGGGGAACAGCGGGATTTGGGGACATGGAGACAGCACAGTTTGGGGACATGGGGACAGTGGGACGTGGGGACACGGAGACAGCAGAACTTGGGGACGTGGTGACATCAGGATCGGGGACACAGCCACAGCACCGCTCCCCCCGTCCCACCCCATCTCCGCAGGCCTAGCGGTTCCCTCAGCCCCGCTCCATCCCGCCCATCCCATCCCTCCGGCCGTGGGGCACCATGAACGTGCTGGCCCCGGTGCGCAGGGACAGGGTTGTGGCCGATCTGCCGCAGGTGAGTGGGGAGGGGACAGCACCCGGGGGGGGAGGCCTCCCCGACCCACAGCCTCACCGGGTCCCCTTTGTTTCCCCCTCCCATCCCCCCAAATACACACCGCAGTGCTTTCGGAAGGAGGCCGCCCTGCACACCCGCCCCGAATTCCATTCCAGTGTGACCAGCGCCTGCCAGGAGCAGCGGACGGGCACTGTGGGGTGAGGCTGGGATGGGGACGGGGAGGCCCATGGGTTTGTCCGCCCTACACAAACTGGGGGGTCCCGGCAGGAAGACGCCGTGTGGCTGCGGCGCTGCAGGGCTGCGTCACGGCACAGGAATGCGGCAGGGGGGGGGGGGGGGTTGGGGGGGGGGGCGGAGAGATGGGGGGTGTTGTGCTGCAGGGGGGTGCGGGTGGTTCCCCAAAGCGGTGCTTATCCCAGGAGCTGACTGTGTGCCCTCCCCTTTCTGCAATGTCTGTGCTCCCACAGCTTCAAGATCTCCAAGATCATCGTGGTGGGGGACCTGGCAGTGGGGAAGACCTGCCTCATCAACCGGTAACCCTGACGGAAGGGATGCTGGGGGGGCTGCAGTGGGAGGACCCTCCCCCTCCCAGGGCTGACGCTCATCCTGCTCGATCCCCCCGCCAACAGTTTTTGCAAGGATACCTTTGACAAGAACTACAAGGCGACCATCGGGGTGGACTTTGAGATGGAGCGCTTTGAGGTGCTGGGGGTGCCCTTCAGCCTGCAGCTGTGAGTAGCGCTGGCGTTGTGTCATCCCCCCCCTCCACACAACAAGCCCCTGCTGACCCCCCCCTACCACCCACCCAGATGGGACACGGCTGGGCAGGAGCGCTTCAAGTGCATCGCCTCCACCTACTACCGGGGAGCACAAGGTGAGACCCCCCCCCAAATCCCCACCAACCATCCCCACGTCCCCTCCGACCACCTCCGTCCCCGTAGCTCACGTCATCCCCCCCAACAGCCATCGTCATCGTCTTTGATGTCAATGATGTGGCATCCCTGGACCACACACGGTAGGTGGCACGTGGGATACAGTGGGCCTGGAGGTGGCTGTGGGGTTGGTGTCACCTCCTTTGTTGCAAACGAGAGGGCAGCGCTCGGCAGCATGGTGATGTGGCCCCACAGGCAGTGGTTGGCAGATGCCTTGAAGGAGAACGATCCCTCCAACGTCATCCTCTTCCTGGTGGGCTCCAAGAAGGACCTGAGCGTGAGTGTGTCCCCCTCCCGTGGGCTCTCCCTGTGCCGTGGGGCCGTCCCCATTGCCCACCCTTCCTCCCTTGGCAGACACCGGCGCAGTACAGCCAGATGGAGAAGGATGCGCTCAAAGTGGCCCAGGAGATGCAGGCAGAGTTCTGGGCTGTGTCCTCACTCACAGGTTGGGACATGGCCAAAGCTGGAGGGGGATGGGGACGAGGTGACCCCCCGCTGGAGCTCAGGAGTCTTTTTCTATGGGGCAGGAGAGAACGTGAGGGATTTCTTCTTCCGTGTGGCAGCACTGACCTTTGAGAGCAGTGTGTTGGCAGAGCTGGAACGCGGCAGTGCCCGGCGGATCGGCGATGCTGTGCGTGAGTATCCACAAACCCCCCCTCCATGGCTAAACCCCCACCCACCCACCTAACCCTAACCCTAACCCTAACCCTAACCCTAACCCTAACCCCTACATCCTGCAGGCATCGGCAGCACCGAGAGCGACCTGTACCTGTCAGCACCCCGCAAGAAGCCCAAATGCTGCCAGTGAGCCCCGCAGCACCCCGTATCTCCGTACCAAAGAGCAGCGGCCCCGGCGGGTGGGGGCATCCCATAGCTATGCAAACCCCCCCAGAAGGGACACCCACAGCCTTCGTTGTAATAAAATGATTTTTTTATGCTTTTTAAGGAAGCCGTCGGGCTGGTGGGCGGGAAGGAGAGCCGTTGTGGTGCCAAGCCTCACTCCCAACCCATCTGGTGTTGGTCGAAGCGGGGCTGCAGGCGGGGGGGCACGCAGTGGGCACACTTGTAGCGCTCCCGAATCCACCGCCCTCCCTCGCTGTCTTCGATGCAGATGGCTGCGACGCCTGCGGGATGCAATGAGGGCTCAGCGTCAGCCCCTGCATCACCTATGGCTGCCCCCCTCTCCCTCCCCCGGTGCCCATCCTACCTGCCACGACCCCCCCTTGGCGCTCCACCAGCTGGATGGCCGCTCGCATGGTGCCCCCGGTTTCCACCCACTGATCCACCAGGAGGATGCGCATACCTGGGGGGGGGCAGAGCTGTATCCCAGCGTCCATTGTCGCCCCACTGCAGGAGTGCCCACCCCACGGGCTCAGCTCACCCGGTGTTACGGTGTCGGTGCGCACCTCCATCACCTTCTCCCGACCCGAATAGTCGGTGTAGGGCTCTGCCAACGTCTCCACGCAGAGGTGCCCGGCTTTGCGGATGGCCAAGAAGCCTTTATGCAGCGTGGCAGCCACAGCGGCACCTGGGGATGGCACTGTCACCCGCCATAGGGACAAGAATCGGGGACCCCCCCAGCATCCCCCCCTTACCCAGAATGAAACCCATGGCATCGATGCCGGCCACCAGGTCAATGGGATCTCCATGGAAGGGTTGCAGCAGATCGGTCACGCAGTCCTTCAAGCCCTGGGAAGGTAGATATGGAGGTGCTGGGTGTCCCCACAGCACCCCTCGGTGCCACCCCCTTGGTGCCCCCCGTGTGGTCACTGGGTACTTGCGGATGGCAGTAGAGCCGGGACGGGTCCAGCCATGCGTAGTGGGGACCTTTGGTGTTGGGGGCCATCAGTGCCAGGTACCAGCCCTTCTCCCGGGCAGCGGGGACGTGGTGCAGGTCCATGTGTAGGGTGCTGTTGGCTTGCCAAGGGGTGAATTCACACCCCACAGGGTTTAATGTCCCCTCTGATCGCCCCGTTGGTGCCCCTGCGCATGCTCCGTACCCAGTGTGGGACCGTCATGGGGAGTGTCACAGACAGCAACAGCTGAGCAGGGGCTGCCCCGTAGCTCTGGGCCCCCGCCAACGCCTTGGGACAGCGGGGAGCTGGGATGGGGCCAGCAGGGAGCTGTGTGGGCATCCCACGGGTGTGGGGTTTGGAGGAGCCAGAGCGGTGCTCGGGGTGCAGACCCACGGGCAGATTTGGGGTCCGAGCCAACACAGGGACTTCTCGAGGCCGCACACGTCTACACTCGGGCACCATCCAGCTCTGCCAAAACGCCGCTCCACGGGACGGGCGCCGCGCCCTGATTGCAAATGGGCTCCGTCCGAGGGTTGGCAGCGGGCGGGGAGGGGAGCTGGCAGCCTTGATGCGCGGGCACCGGGACGCGGGGATGGACAGAGCTGCCGCGGGGCAGAGCCGGGCCGTTCAATGCTGCGCCGTGCCGAGCCGAGCCGTGCCGCCCCGCGGTGGGCGGGCCGTGCCGTGCCGCGCTCCGCTATAAGGCGGCCCCGCAGCAGCGGTGGCCCCGCGATGCCATGTGCGTCCCGCGCTGCCTCTTCCTCCCCCTCCTTCTCTTCCTCCTCCTCCTCCCGCTGTTGGCGGCCCCCAGCCCCGCAGTGGCCCCGTCGGGGCGGCCCCGTGCCCGCCGAGGTCTCACCTACCCCGGGACGCTGTGGTGCGGCGCCGGGAGCAACGCGGACAGCTACGAGCAGCTGGGTAAGGAGCTGTGCCTGAACCCACCCCGTGGTGAGACCTCCCCCCCCAGTGCTGCTCCGCTCCCCAGCACAGGACCGGGGACCCATCTCCACCCCTATCCCCAGCTTTGTCCCTGTCCATTCATCTCTCTGCTATCCTATTCCCCACGTGCTGCTCCTCTCCCAGTCCTCTCCAGAGCGATCCCCCTACTGCTGCTGTCCAACACGCTCCATACCCAGTCCTTACTCTGCTCTCAGCCCGGTCTCCATCCTGGTGCTCATCTCAGACCGATGCCAGCCCAACCCACTCCATCCTGATCAGCAGGGTGGTGCTGATCCAGCCCCAATCCCCGTCCTGCTGCCTGCCCTCATTCATCCCAATCTGATCCCAGTGCCATTTCTGGTACAGTTCTGATCCCCATTCTTACCCAATGTGGCTTCTCCAGCCACCCATCCCCAATCCCAAACCCATTCCAACCGTGACCCTATCCCATCCCTGATCCCAACCCCATTTCATCCCTGACCCCATCCCAGCTCTGATCTTGACCTCATCTCCAGCTCTGATCCCATCCCCAACTCCGACCCCATTCCATCCCTTATCCAATTTCATCTCATCCCCAATCCCAACCCCATTCCAGCCCCCAATCCCACTGAAGCCCAAATCCTGACCCCATTTCAACCCTGACCCCATCCCAGCCCCAGTACTACTCCTTTCCATCCCTGACCCCATCCCATCCCTGATCCCAACCCCTTTTCATCCCTGACTCCATCTCAACATCATCCATCTCAACATCCATCTCCATCATTTCATCCCAGCTCCAATCTCAACCCCATCTCCAAATCTGACCCCATCCCAGCCCCTATCCGACTCCATCGCAGTCCCAATCCCATCCCCAATTCCATCTCAGCCCCAATCCCAACCCCCAATCCCACTGAAGCCCAAATCCTGACCCTATCTCAACTCTGACCCCATCCCAGCCCCAATCTTGCCCCTTTCCATCCCGCCACCATTTCCGATCCCAATCCTCACCCAGCGCAGCCCCCATCCCCAATCCCAACACCATCCCAGCTGCACGCAGCCCCCTCCCCAGCCCTACCCTCAGCCCTCACCCCACAGGTGAGCACCGTGACACCGACCGCTGCTGCCGTGACCATGACCACTGCCAGCACGTCATCCACCCCTTCACCTCCCGCTACGGTTACCGCAACCTGCGCTGGCACACCATCAGCCACTGCGACTGCGACCGCCGGTGAGCAGCCCTGACCCCCATAGTTGAGATTGGGGAGGGATGGCAGCGGGGTTCTCCCCCTCCTGACCCTCCTTTGGGTGCAGGCTGAAGGAGTGCCTGCAGCAGGTGAACGACACGGCGTCGCGCGTGGTGGGACAGGCGTTCTTCAACGTCATCCAGGTGCCGTGCTTCGAGTTTGCCTACAAGGAGGAGTGCGTGCAGCCGTACCTCTACGTGTGGTGAGTGACACCCCCTGGTTTGGGATCTGCTGTTGCTGTCTCTGACCCGCGCTGTCTCGCTGTCCCCAGGTGCAGGGCGTACAACACGGTGGCCGTGGCGGTGCCCAAGGAGCCGGTGCTGTATGAGTTTGGTGGGGAGCTCATCGACAGGGCGGCGTGGCCTGGGGGGGAACCCCTGGATCCCCCAGCTGTGAAAGTGAGGAAAAGGATGAAGGAGAAGAGGAAGAAGGGGAAAAGTTTGAAGAAGAGCCCTTCTGGAATTGGGGAGCTGAGCCACGCCGCATCCATCCCCCCCATTGCCCCCAGCTCAGGGGGACAGGGCAGCAGGAAGAGGAGGAGGAAGGAGAGGAACAGAAAGAAGAGGCTGAAGAGCAATACTGAGGCAGCCTGAGCCCCACGCTCACCCTGTGGGGGCCCTGGTTGTGTTGATGAATAAAGTGGGTAATGAGCAGCCACTGCAGTGCTTGGGGGTCTGCGGGGCGAGAGCCACGGCGGGGCCAGAGAGGGGGGATATGGGGCAGTGGTGCCCATCTGACACATGGGTCTGGTCCTGGTGTATGACAGCAAGGAAGAACCCAAGGTCTGCAGAGCCGTGTGAGGAAGAGATACGTGGGCTCCAGCTGCACCTCATCGCTCACACTGGCTCTGGTTGTGGCTCTGAGGCTGGCAGTCACAGCAGTGCACAGGGCTGAGCCGTTCCCCTTCCTGCCCCATCAGGGATGCTGTGAGCACAGCACAGATGCAGGATGCACAGACAGGCCGGATGCAGGCAGTTTCCCAAAAGTAGAACTTTTTAATTGGGAAAACTAAAAACAAAGAGGGCCGGAAAGGAGCCGACAGCACTTAGTCAGCACCCCCCCCGCCCCTCCTCAGTATGGCTCCGGTAAAGAGCTGCTCCCAGTCAGAATCCTGCCATCGAATTTCATGAAATAAAAAAGAAAGAAAGAAAATAGCGGGAGGTTATAGCAGGGCTGCCCCCCACCCAGGCAGGCAGAGGCCCCATCCCACCCTTGCGAGGCTGCAGATCGCGATGTCAGCCCCGGAACGGGAGCGCATGGCTCAGTGTCTGCTTTGTCCCCTGTGCTGCTGCCATTCTTCAGGAGCATTTACATGCAAAAAGCCCTTTGTTGAAGCGGGGCTGCGGTTCTTGCTCATTTCCTAGCGAAGAGGAGGCGAACCGGGAGCCCAGGGAGAAACAAAGGCTCTGCTTCCATAGAAAACCCTCACTAACAAAAGAGGAAAGGAGAAAAGTGTGCAGCAAAGAAAACTTTCCAGTTCAGAACCATCTCTCCATTGCACTGCAGCTGCTCCTGCTGGGACCGCAGCTCCGTGCTCCCAGCCCAGGGGTCCCTCGCAGGCAGTGAGAGCTGTGAGCTCAGGCAGTGCCCACTATGTGGGTGCGACGTCTGGACGTATCTGTTTTGATCAGCTTCACACAAATCAGCTTCTCTGCAGAAGTTTCAATCTCCAAGCACCGAAGGAAGGAGGAGCAGTGACTTTCACCGCCTTCCACGGCAAATCCGTCGCTAAGAGAGGGCAGGCACCGCAGGGCAGACAAAACCTCTCAACCAGCGTAGAAACACAGTTTATTCACCCCTTGTGGTTACAGTTGGGCAGGAGGAAGTCGATATGGAGGAGGGTGCCATGCACTCTCAGCTGCTTTGGGTGCTCTCCACCATAGGAGCTCTTGCAGTGTTTCGGCCCATGCGTCTGTCCTGTGCTAAGCTGCTGCTGCCCGGGGTTTTGCTTTGCAGTCTGATTAAAAAAAACAAAACAAAACAACAGAAAACCCCACAAAAACAAAACAAACTAAATAAATATTGTTCCAAAAGAAGCCAGAGGAGAGCAAGCCTTTGGTACAACAGCTGCGTTTCTCTCTGGCGTGAGCCCTAAGCCCCAGAGCTGCCGTGCCCTGGCTGCAGGGTGGCACAGACTTTGCAGAGCCTGCTACGTGCGAGATCACGGAGCAAACAGCAACAGAAACCCTTTGAGAACTCTGGTTCACTTGTCACAACCCCAGTGACTTTGCTTCACGCTCCCTGGGTGAGGAGAGGAGACGGTCGGGGCATGGGAGAGTCCAAATAGGACAGGCTCACTCCAGGCCAGCGGTGTGCAGATCCTGCTGGGTTTGCTTCCTCGTGGTCGCAGTGACAGCACTGCTGTGCGCACAGAAGGACAGATTCGCTCCACCCAAGTGGTGAGCCAGGAGCTGGGACACAGAGGCCGCTGCAGCTGTCCTTTCCTATGAAATATTTATATATATATAGTATACATATTTAGACCAGCTCTGCCAAGTCTGTTCGTTCACTCAGGTGCACATCACCACGAGTCGTTTCCCACCATCTCACGATGTATAAAACAGGAGTTACGTGGCTGAGGGAAGGGAGGCCGTGTTCAACTTTTGCTCTCCCTTCCCCTTCCTAGAGAAGGGAACGGAGGGTCGGGGTCAGGTCCAGCACGGCCTATCGGTCCATCTCATCCAGCAGCGGCGTGGCGTCCCCGGCGATGGACATGGGTGTGCTCTCAATCATGGGGCTGGGAGACGGGCGAGGAGTCAACCTCTGCTTCTGTTTCCTCCGCTCAGCCTCCTTCTCCTGGAGCCACTGCTCGGCCATCTTCCCCCAGTCGATGGCAGCGTGACTGTTGGTCCTGTAATGACACGGGCAGGAGGTGAGATGTGCCACGGGCAAGAAAAACTGGGGCAGCTTTCCCTGCCCTCCCTCCCCGCTGCCCCACGGGGGAGAACTCATGGGGTTCAGTGCTACCATGAAAGCAACCGACACAGACATGCAATCAACTCCTCCACTCACTTTGGCTGCTGCCTCTGTCTGGAACTGGACGAGGGCTGCGACTGTGCCTGGGACTGTGTGGACTGCGGTGTGGTGTTGGCCTGGAGCTGGTACTGGGGCGTTGTGATCGGCTGGCTGGGGGTGGTGTAGGAGTAACTGGGGGTCATCAGAGGGGTGGCCACCGGTTGCTGCGCTGGAGTTGTGAAGACCTGCAGGGAGCAGATATTGTTAGGAGACAGAGGAAAACTGCTGGGCTGTGAGGCAGAGATCTGGCACGCTCCCCACTGCTCTGCTTGCTGCTGCATGTCC